TGAGCCACGGATGGAAAGTTTGCACATACCCACGGCAGACGCAGCTGCGCGCTAAGTATCCTGTCTGTCTGCGAGCGCTGCGTGGCAGGAATACAGCCACGTGGCTCCGACGTCCAAGCAAGGGCTAAAGAAATACACGCTTTATTATTAGTTAATGGAGTAAAGAGAGTGACCAGGGCCTTTGGAAGTGGCCGGTAATTATGTCCTATAGAAAATCATCTCACACTCTCTCTCTCTCTCTCCCTCTCCCCTCCCCTCAAAAGGACTTAATGTAAAGGAGAGAGGCCTGGGTATGCATTAGCAGTGGTGAGGTCTAAGGAGAGGTGTGGAGAGGACCTGAAATCACCCCCCAGAGACCCGCCTGGCCTCCTCCACCGAGAGCAGGGGGAGGGGTTACCTTGAAGCGTGGAGAGACCTCATTGGCCTGGGCTGCTCCGTTTCCATGGCGCCCGTCCATGGGCAGGTGTAGCTGAACGCTCAGGATGGGGAGAATGCGAGGCCCTGGCAGGGCCTCCATCTGCCCCACCCCCACCCCGCTTCTACCCCCACCCCGACCTGGGGCTCACACTGCCCCCATCTGAGCTCTTTGCAGCCCCTGGCCCAGGGTGTCACAACACTGTTTTGCCTCCCAGAGGAAATTCCAGCCTTGATAGAAGCTCAGCCGGGAGTTTGAGGTGACACAGAGCCGGTGGAGAAGGGTGATCTCTGTGTCCTTTTGACTCCCCGGCATTAAAAGGTGGGGTTCATATTATTTATTATTAACCGCTCTTTACTGTTTATTTTGCTTTGTACACTTATTTCTGTATTGGTAGTGATCAGTCCCTCGATTCTGTATTCCTTTGTGTTTTATTGTTTGTTTATTTATTTACTTGCTCGCTAGGGTTTGAATGGAACTTCAGGCCCAGTGAAGTGATTTCCTCTAGATGCACTTCAGACATTTACTTATGCCCTCTGTCTTTTAGCTCTTATATATGTTATCATTTCGGTTTCAATTCCAGCAGTACCGAACAACCTCTGCATGCTAGATAGGTTTCCAGCAGGATAGACTTGTCTTATTTTTTTGGGGGGGGGCCACAATTTGCATCATTGATTTCTAATTTCATTTTCTATTTGGTTCTATCTTTGGTTTTGTTCTCTTTTTTCCTACGGTCTATCGCAGCCTTCCTGGAACTTGCGATGGATCCTAGGCTAACCTTGAACTTGTGGGCCTCCTGCTTAATTAAGCTCCCTGGGTGCTGGGGATTACAGGCTTGTGCTACCACATTTGGTGTAGGATATCACTTTGTGGATGAAACTCACAGGAAGCTCTTTGGTAGGCTCAATCGTGCATTATGAGTTTTTTTAGTAGGTGTTTCACATAGGTTTGAAAAAAAAAATTGGAGCACTGTTTGGCTTGCTAGGTGCTGAATTCTTAGAAAAGCAGCTTACTGGAGTTGGTTAACTGCCTTGTTCAGATTCTTTTCAGCTTCATTGCTTAGCAAAGTTGGGGGGTGGGTGGAGTAGATAACCCTGTCCTCTACCAGAGTTCAGGACATGAAAATATCCATTGAAGGTTGATTGCTTTGGGGCAGGTCCTAAAGCAAAACATAGCAGCTCGTCTGTCACTCCAAATAAGGCCGAATGCTTCGAATCCCAGACTCATTAGCCATAAAATCTAGGCTCTTGCCAGGCATCAGTGGCTCACGCCTGTAATCCTACTTATTCAGGAGGCTGAGATGTGAGGATCATGGTTCAAAGCCAGCCTGGGCAGGAAAGTCCCTGAGTCTCCTATGTCCATTTTAACTACTACCAAGAAGTTAGAATGGCGTTGTGGCTCTAGGCGTGAGCCTTCAGCACAAAAACCTCAGGGACAGCGCCCAGGCCTTGAGTTCAAGTCCCAGTAGTGGCATGAAAAATAAATAAACCAAGCCCTGGGCTGTGGCCTGCAGTGGCTCGTGTTTGCAAACACAGGCATGTTTGCAGTCGTGGTGTCCTGTGCTGCATAGTCACTGAGGAATTCTGAAGAACAGCAGGTGGAGGGCTGCTACCCCCGTTCTAGAAGCCCATTGCTGAGGCTGACCTCTGCTCCCAGGGGAGGATGGGGGGGGTCACCAAAAAACTTCTTGGCCTTGTTGCCCGGAAGAAACAGGAGCTTGGGACGCTGCAGAAGGGATGAAGGGAGAGGGGTGGCCGGGGAGCCCGGGTGCACCCGCCTCCCCTCTGCCTGCAGAAGAGCTGAACGAAGCACTTCAGAGCCCCCTGCATCCTGCCACGTCCTCTCTTGTCCCTCCCCTCAGTGCGGAACGCCGAGACTGCAGCCATGACGACCCACGTGACCCTGGAAGATGCCCTGTCCAACGTGGATCTGCTGGAGGAGCTGCCCCTGCCCGACCAGCAGCCATGCATCGAGCCCCCACCCTCCTCCATCATGTACCAGGTAGGGCAGACTGCGGAGCATGCTGGGAGCCCAGGACTCTGGGGATTCCTGCCCCAGGGTTTGGCTTGAAGGCAGAGGGGTCAGACACAGGCTTAGACTAGACTGGGGATGGGCACTCCCCTCCCCCCCCACACCCCTCCCCTCCCCAGAGCTTGTTAGTCTGCGGTCACTGAGCAGATCCTGTCATGAGCCAGGACGGGACTGCACACAGCTGTGTGGGGTCTGGGTGTGGTGGGGAGATCCCTCACCCCTGCAGCTCGGCAGCCCTGCTCCACCCCTGCTCTGCCCAGGCCAGGTTACCGGGCGGTGCTGAACATGTTCATTTGAGAAGTTGTTTTAGCTCTCTGGATCCCTTTGCTAGTAGCCCTCGGCTAGGTCAATGCTGTCAACACCAGCACTCGGTCTGGCTCAGTGGTTAGCTGTATTAGGCTCACGCTTGAAGGCTTCGCTTATAAATTTGATTTGTTCCTACCTCGAGAGCCGGGTTGAATTTTTGCATTCTGTAAATATGGCTTGTTACATGCAACACGGAAAAGTATAGCCAAGAACTATTACCACACCCTCTCTCTCTCTAACACACACACACACACATATACACTCATACTTCCTTGGAGGGTGGGGCAGTCCTGAGCTTTGAGCTCAGGGCCCTAGCACTCGCTAGGCAGACCCTCTGTCCCTTGAGCCACACCTCCAGCCCTGTTTCGCTTTCGTTATTTTTCGCATAAGGCCTCACACTTGTTTTCTGGCTGGCCTCAGACCGCCATCCTCCTGCCCTAGGCCTCCGGGTTTGCGTGACTGTGGCTTGTCGAGCGTCACGTTTGAAAAGCCAGGCAACTGGGAATCAGAGCATTTCCTTGTGGGGCTCGGCCCTGGCCCACTGGGATTGAGAGGGTCATACGTGGGTTTTGTTGTTGCGGTTGTTGTTTGGAGAGAGGGGAAAGATGAGAGGTCACTGGGCAGTAGATTTCCACCTGGAGCGGTGGCATTTGGTAGCAGTGATTTCCCTCTTGAGCGCTCTGCACCTCCATTCCGCAGGCGAACTTTGACACCAACTTCGAGGACAGAAATGCATTTGTCACCGGCATCGCCAGGTACATCGAGCAGGCGACAGTCCACTCGAGCATGGTAAGTCTCTGTGACCCACAGATGTGAACCCGGCCAGAGGGACGGGGCTGGGGCAGCTTCCCGCACGAGGGGTGGGGCTCAGCTACCCCCATGTCCTGCCTGGCCAGGCCGGCCCTGGCCCCCGGTTACACCGCAGCCCTCAGCTTCCAGCGCCGCAGTCCTGTCCACCTTGAGTCCATCTTAACCCCCACCACTTCCTGCCGGAGCTCCTGGGTTTGGCGGGGCTCCAAGTGTGAGTAGATCCTTCCTTGTCTTAGAGGTTTTTCGTAGATGATCAGATGTGTGGAATTTTCTGTCTTGACAAAAACCCAAAGGATTCCTCACGCAAGATGCACAGCGGCCTTGCCTTGGGAATAGCCCAGTTCCCGAGTTGAGGAAGTTGGTGGCGGGAATGATTCGTGAGTGGAACAGGTGGTTGTATTCTATTGTATTTTATTTTTGTCAGTCGTGGGTCTCGAGCTCTTTTGCTCAAAGGCTAGCCTCTACCACTTTGAGTCACGGCGCCACTTCCAGCTTTCTGGTGGTTAAGTGGAGATTAGATTCTCGCAGACTTTTCTGCCCAGGCTGGCTTTGAACCATGATCCTCAGATCTCAGCCTCCTGAGTAGCTAGGATTACAGGCGTGAGCCACCGGGGCCCTGGGCAGTCATTGTTTTTGTCCTTTGGCTTTTGACACTAAAAGAGGAGGAGACCATCCCCCTTCCCAGTGGGGTTCTCATGGATTTATTCTCAAACAGCCCCAGATGTGAGGAAGGCTCCATTTCCCACTCCGTGGCTGGGCCTGTGGCCCCATGGGCCTCCTCACTGGGGCTTGCTTAGCTCTATTGCGTGCTCAGCACTGCGTGCCTCTCCCCGCACACACAGCCAAGGTTGGCTTGAGAGCCAGGCCTGGTCCCCAGCGAATCACGGTAGGGAACAGATCTAGCCCGTTCTCTAAGTCCTTCTGCTGGGCAAATAATATCTAGGCTCAGTATCTCATTGAATCTGTGCACAGACCCTTTAATACTCACTGTACCGATGGGGAAACGCGGAGTCCTTAAAAGTTAAAGAAACATGCCAGACACCCATGGCTCACGCCTGTAATCCCAGCTACTCAGGAGGTTGAAATCTGAGGATCGTGGTTTGAAGCCAGCCCTGGGCAGGAAGATCTGTGAGACTCTTATCTCTAATAAATCATCAAAAAAAAAAAAAAAAAAAGCTGGGAGCTGGGAAGTAGCTCAGTGGCAAAGTACTTACCTAGCAAGTACAGTGTCCTGGGTTCAATCCCCAGCACCAAAAGAGAACACACACACACACACACACACACACACGCTGCAAGTGCAGCTGTGGCTCAGAGTGGTAGAACACTAGCCTGGGGCAAAAAGCAGCTCAGGGACAGTTCCCAGGCCGTGAGTTCAAGCCCCAGGTCTGGTGCACATATGCGTGCGCACACACACACACATACACATGTTAAATTAACTCAGGGCTGCACAACAGACCAACTTTAGCCCAAGACTGACAACTGAAAATACGCCAAGAGTGACTGTCATGGTTAAACTCTGGTTCCGGGGTGGGGGTGGGGGTGGGTGAGTGTGTAAATTGCGAGGACAGAGGTGGCTCTCTGGTGGGGCCCCGTGGGAGGATAATGATAGTTTGTGTGCGCGTGGCCCTTTGAAATGATGTAGGCCAGCTCTCTGCGTGATATCCCCGGAATCTCATTATAGTCTGGGACTTGCAAAGGGATTATTATGCCCATTTGGGGGATGAGAAAATTAAGGCTGGAGAAGTTAATAAGCAAGTTGGTCATGCTCCCACAATGATGAATCAGAATCCTGGGCTGGGACCTGAACCCCAGGATCGACTCGTGGTCCTGAACTCTTTCTACTCCACTTGAATTGGACCCATCAGAGATGAGAATCGGGGGGGGGGGGAAGAGGTTTGGGGGAGGAGGCATTGGAAATGAGGTACATGTCACAGAATTTTCAGGAACTCCCTGAATTTGGGCTGTGAGGTATCCCTAGGTAAATTGTGATATTCCTGGGAAATTAAATGAGGGTCGGGATGCAGAGTGTGTATTAGTCATCTACAGCTGCAGTAACAAAATACTGTAGGCCAGGTGACTGAATGGGAACCATTACCTTCCCGCCATTTTGTTGGCCGGAAGTTCTACCTGGAGTTTGGTCCTAGGGCTTGAACTCAGGACCTGGGCGTTGTCCCTGTGCTACTGCTCTCAAAGCTAGCCCTGGCCACTTGAGCCACAGCACCACTTCTAGCTTTCAGGTGGTTCACTGGAGATAAGAGTCTCACAGGTTTTCCCCCCGCCCCAGGCTGGCCTTGAACCTTGATCCTTAGCTCTCAGCCTCCTGAATAGCCAGGATTATAGTTGTGAGCCACCAGCGTCTGGCAGGGCTGAATTCTCCCCAGAGGATCTAGGTGAGAATCCATCCCCTTGCTCTTTCCAGCTTCTAGAAGCTGTTCACCTCCTCTAGTAATTGGTTCCAGGACCATTTCCAGAAGGGTCAGGAGCACAGCTTGAGTCTCTCTAGGCTCCACTCTGGCCTTGTTCCACACCGCATGGTCCTGCCCTCAGGATTCCAGGGTGATTATACAATAACCCCACAGAGGTCAGCTGACGCGTCCCCGGGGCACAGCCCACATCCCGGCCCACAGCAATGGGGCCACCCGCCACCGCCAAGACCCAGTGAATGCACTCACGCCAATCTCACCTGCTGGGAGCAGTTGTTTGGTTTTGCACTTTACGGTTGCATCCTCTCCTGGCCGGCCTTCGACAGCCATGACAGTGTCTTTCCAATCTCAAGGACAATAGGTGATGGAAATAGGGAAGACTTTTCTCTTGAGAAACTGTCTTTTCAATGACATTTGCTGCTGGCTGGAGCTCTAACAAGTAATGAGACTCTAAGCTGCATCACGCTCACCTCCTAACAAAGTTATTATGCACCGGAGAGGCAGAGTGCAAGTTAAATCAATGAAAAGGTTGTTTTGTCGTTGGTGTTATTGTTGTTGAGATGCAACTATTTGCAAAGAGAGACGACCTAGTAGCATTCTTTTTTTTTGGGGGGGGGGGTCCGG